AGATTTGAATACCGCTATTCCAATATTCATCGTAATGCAATAATGTATATCAACAGAGGTAACACCGAGAATTTTCCTTGCTTTTGATGGAATGCGATGAAGACTCAAGGCATTGTCGGTATCTTCAGAAGTTGAGATTTTTGAGTGCTTTTAGTGTAACGAGACAGATATCCAAAATTTTAACTGTGTATCCTCGAAAGGTCAGATTTTTCATTGCTTTTGGTGTAACGAAGTGAATACTTAATCATTATCCTCAGAAATTGAGGATTCTGAATGAATTTGTTGTAACAAGATGAATATTGATATCCTTACCTATGTTTTGAAAAGATTAGAGTTTGATTGATTTTCGTAGGAAAATAGATAGCGAATGAGATAGTTATATGTCATCGTCACCAGGATATGGAAGCTGCTGTATGCTTTGTAGTAGACACGATGTCAGTGTAAAAGGGTACTGGTGCATGTGTTGACGTTGTTTAAGGCGAAAATTATTCAATCGGATTTCTAATCGGATGAAAATGAAACAAATTTTGAATTTAAAACCGATCTTTTCTGATGATCATTTTTTTCTTGTCAATCTTAATCGATTTGAATTTGATCCACCATCAAATTCGATTCAGATCAATTTTGAATTTTAATCCCATCGAAGTCAGATTGGATTATCAGAACTTTTCTCGTTGAAGTCGATTCTTCACCTAATTAAAATCAAACTTAATGGGAATGACAGTGTCATATTCGCTAACAATTCCTTGGTCTATCTCGTTTTCTCTTGTTGATCAAATTTCTGAGCTGTTTAGAATCAAGACGATTGTCGATCATCATTCGATTCATACAAGAATGTCATTTCAATAAAATAACCAAAATTCGAACATAAATCTTTAAACTGATCAAATAAACAAGAACTTTATTTGAAAGCAGGAAAAGATTATCCAACAACAAGTATTTCATGTACTAATAAAATAAATCAATGGATTTATCAAGGAACTGATGCTACACTATTAAATCAATTGATAATATTACCAATTCAATTATGGGGTTTAATTATTCAAACAAATACTAATTTATCTTCAGTATTTAAACATATCTCTGTCATATTTGTAAATAAGTCATCTCAATATGATCCATCATCTGATCGAATTCGTACTTGTTCTATGTCTGTTGCTTGATGAACAAGTCTTGCTCTATCTTCTTCTGTGATAACAGTTGATGGACATCCATTAGGTCAAGTTAAAAAATTAAGACATAAGCAAGAATATACAAATTCAGTAGTTAAATATTCTTTATTTGCACATTATCTTCAATTAACAGATCATTTACATAGGACAGTCAAAAAGTTCTGTCACTCAGTACAAATTATTCAATAGAAAGACATTTCATTTCTCTCTCTAGAGCAAATCTTAGAAGTTCATAATCAATGGTTATGACAACAACTTCTAATTTTATCTATTAGTTAAATACAAAATAATATCTTTGTTACATCTTTATTTTTTTTTTATTGGCAATCAGACTTTTTTTTCCTACATGTTATCTATACAATATAGAAAAAAGAAAACACATAGCAAAATCTCATTTCACAGATTAATGAAAGAAAATAATTATTTAATGTATATACATTCAATAAATGAACAGAAAATTTTTTTTCCAGAAAGTAAAAAAAAAAAAAAGGAAAAGAAACAGAGCAGAAGAAGCTAAAACAAGAGACACAGAAAAAAACGATATTATTAATAATAATAAATAAATAAACTCGTTCGAAATTAACGTATTAATAAACGTCGTAAATTATTTCGTGTTTTATTTGAAAAAATAGGTGAAATAGAAGCTCGTTTATGCCATGGAGATTTTATTGGACCTGTTGTTGTTTTACATGGACTTAATGGATGATAAGGTCCCGAACAATATTGACAAAAATTATTTCGACATAATGGATTTGTACAAATACTAAATGCAAAAACAAAAATTAAATTCGATTGATTAATATGAAAATTATTTCAAATCAAAATATAGTTAAATCTTTTTATAATTTATTTTCATTCAACAGATACCAGACTAAATAAATAATTGAAATTATGTTTTTAATTTTCAATATTTATTCTACTATACAATAATTCAATGAAATAAATTTAACGGATATTTTTCCATATAAAAATGAGATGAATTATACTAACTTTTACAAAACTCTCAAGGTTCTAGATTTACATGGAGAATCAGAACTTTCAAAAGTAATCGTAATTTCAAGTATCTTACTATATAATATTGAGGAAAGAAAATCTTATGACTTATTGATCTACAATTTTACCTACTGACATATAACAAAGCTATTCGACTGTCGAAAATATTTTAGTTCAAGCGAAATCTACCAATTGATATAATTGCTTTTGAGTTGAGACTATGTGCATCATGTAGATATTTCAAATTTATCTGTAGTTTTTAAATGACTATCATAGTCTTCTTTAGGAAGATGCGTCTCTATGTACAGTTTCAAATCGCAATAATAAGTTAAGAGTATGGACTTTTTTTTTAGGATATCCATTAATTCATTTGACTCTATGTAATGAATGTAGCCTTGGCTCAAAAATGATTTATCATCTAGAAAATTTCTTTTGTTAGATCTAGTGACAAGCATAATAAGCATTCGATCGGTCAGTTACACTTGAAAATGTTTCTATCATTTGATAGAATGATAGGTTAAGTACTTTTCTTTTTTTTAAAAGACATACCCATGCTGATCATTCACATCAACAATAGAAACAAAACCACAAAGTGGACAACGTTTAGGAATAGTTGGTCCATGTAAATATTTTAAATATCCATAACGAAATGTCATTGTACTTGCAGTAAGATGAATATTATCTTCAATTATTGAATTTGATTGATTTTGTAATGGAATACTATTATTTTCTGTATTTATTATTTCAATATTAAATGGTATTATTGATTTTGAATGAATTGTATTTGTTATTATTTGCATTGGTGTACTTGTTAATTTATTATTTATTATTAATGATTGTTCATTACTATTATTCTTATTATTAGTATCATTAAATAAATTTCGTTTAACATTATTTGTTCGTTTACGTTTATAATAATCATTTAAAATAAAATTCCATTGTTTACATACATATAAACAATAATATAAATCATTATTTGATAAATTTTTAAATATTTTATCAATTAAATAATATGTATTTCGATGATATAATTGTGTTAATATATCAAAATATTTTCTTGTTGTTATATAATTTTCATAATCAATTGTTGAATAAAATTTTTCTATTATAGGATTTATTGGAGATTGTATAGGAGAATCATATTGATTATAAATAACAATTGATGGTGATAAACGAGATGGAGATGTTATATATGAAGATGAAAATGTTAAATAACCTGAATCAATTCGACTACTAACAGGTATCAATGGATGAAGAAGATCATTTGAACTTTCATTATTTTCATCATTTATATAACTTGACATATTTTTCTTTTTTTTTTGTTTTATTATCAAGTCAAAACAAAGTCTACAATGAAAAGAAAAATTTCATTTTTATACTAATATTTAATAATTTTTTCATATCTATAATATATTATGAACTAAGTTGATTCCGAACTTAAGTCTATTTATAGATTAGTATTTTCCTCTATCTTATGAATAGGTAAGATATCAGTGAATTAGAAATAGTAACAATATGAGAAATGTTCTCCGATCATCGTTTAAGAGTTCTTAGTTATCTCACTGAAATTTTCAGATGCCTTCGTAATATGTGAGTGATTCGCAAAAAATTCAATATATTAACAACATAAAACTCTAATAAAATACCTTAAGAAGATCTGATGATATTTATTCTATTCAAATGTCTCATATATTCTCGTACTACATATTAAATTTCAATAGGAAGATTTCTAGTAAATCTAAATAAAAGAATTCACATTATTTACTTTGTAAAAAATCTTTCTCTAATGTATAGAAACGGATATTTTTTTATTGATGAAACTAAATAATGTGAACTTTTAGTTCGAAAAGATACTATGTTAATCTTAATTTCTCTTCTTATGAATATATATAAGGTCATTTTAACAAAGATGTTTACTATTACTTTTACTTCGCTCTTTGTCTTTTTATAACAATGAACCACCATCTGTTCATTAAATTTAATAAAGCATATGAAAATATTTTTTTATACAAAAAAATAAAAAATAATTTATTATTTTTCATTATGTATTCAAAAATATTTTTCTCTTTATATTTCATTATAGAGGATTGAAAGAAAATTCTGATTAGTTATTCTTTGTCTATTACCTCGATTTGTCATTTTCATCATTTCATTCTTTTAGAAAAAAATGTCGACCACAAATAATTCAATAAATCTTGTTGACAAATATATTGATAAAACTATTGAATCTATTCAAGAATATTATAATACAATTGAAACAAATATCAATAATATTATTGAACAAATTTAAATTATTCAAATGATGATAAATTTCTATTGAAAATTTAATAAAACAATATAGTGATAAACATAAAAATTTACATAGTTCAATATCTAAAATAGATAAATATTTTCAATCAGATTTTAGAGTCATATTCCTATAATAGATTTTATTTTTAATACAAAATTAAAATTAATTTATATGATTATATGTGAAGATTTATATCGTCAAGGATATATATATATAAATAGTTGAAAAATTAAATGATAATAAATTATTTAATATTGAAAAATCTTTTACCAGCTATTATTGATGTATATAAAATATCATAATGAATTAAATAAAACAGATAGTTTATTAGAAATTTTATTTATATAAAATGTGTTTTATTCAATTATTACAAATGGAAAATTTTTATGATGTAAAAACTTATTTAATACATTTAAAAAAGTATTTTTTTTTACTTAATGAACAAGATATCAATCATTTAATAGGTGCATTTGTTTTTGCTCGTAGAAATTTATTACAATCATCATATAAAGATTTACTTGAACCACATCTTATCAGAATGATTTATGCAACAAACATTTAATCTTTTACAAGATAGTCCACTTTATGTTGTTATGAAAATTGGTTTTCAAGCTTTACCTGCTCTTATGAGGTAAACAAAAAAAAAAGTTTATTGATTTGTATTAAAAGTTGTAAATCATACATATTTCCTGAGAGTAGTCTTGAGTTGATCTTATCAGAATATTCTAGTAAGAAATAATCATACGAATTATCGATATATATGATAATAGAGAGTGAAAGTCTCTGAGATGTATCATATGTATAAAATTTCAATTCAAAAGAAAATGATCAGTTGAAAACATTTCCTTATAAGCTATCTTGTTTTGAATAAAGTCTATTTTCGCTCGTTTACTATGTAAGCTCTTATGAGGGAACGTTCCCAACTGTCACATCGCTTTTGAGTCAAGCGTATGAGCTTCATGTAGGCTCTAATGATCTATAAATCCTCTGAAAAAAGTTCGTGCCACTGACTTCTTACTGCTGAGATATTGCATTTTTACTGTATGTTGAAGCAAAAAGCTGCGGTCCCCATCAGAAAAAGTGAGTTTTTGTTCCTAGTCTGAAATAAGAACATCGGATCTGCTTGTGTATATGAGCAATTGTACGATAGCTGTATCTTAGAATAGGAACAACGGAAAGAACTGAAACTTTCACAATAAACTATTCTCATCGAGGCCTATACCTATGCAAAGTTTCTAGTCGAAATCCAGTTTTTTCAGTGTTCCTGAGGGGGACCACGACTCTTTTTTTTTAAACATACAGTAAAAATGTAGTATAAGTTAGTGGCATGAAATTTTTTCAGAGAATTCATAGATCGTTAGGGTCTACATAATACGCATACGTTCGACTTAAAAGCAATGTGACACTTGAGAATGCTCCCTCGTTAGTCTTAAAGATTAATAAAGAAACTAATGATAGTAATGGTCAAGGTAAACTTCACTACGAGGAAGAGAAATGAAAAAAAAAACGATTCATGTAATTTATATTCAAAACTTATGTTTGTATTTTCGTCTTATGATAATTTAAAGACAATACAGAGTGTTATTATAGAAATTATTCTATCTTTTTTTTTTTCTCTATAATTATCATCGAAGTATTAGCGAAAATAAATAGTTTGGCTATCGAACTGAAATAACATGAAAGAGAATTGTTAGTTGATGTCTATGGTTTATATATAAATATATTCTTATTGGTTCTAACTAACTTTTCTTTCGTTCAGTTGTTTATTTTGAATATGTACCGAATTTCTTATTCTACTAATGTTCGATATATTTCTTATTCTTTCTTTCGATGCTGGTATATATACATACATATCGATCCCTCGATTAAAGAATAAAAAATTTAAATGACTTTGCCTTTATGCTTCATTATATTCAAGAATCTAAGATTCGAAAAATAATATTTCTTATTTATAGTATAGTAAATGCCATGGAAAATACACAAGTATGTCATATATTATCAAAAGATGAATTACCAATAGAAATTGATGTTGGTCAAGAACATCGATATCATAGTGTATTTGCTTGTCCAATTCTTCGACAACAAACAACCGATCAAAATCCATCGATGAAATTTGTTTGTGGTCATGTTATATCAAAAGATGCACTTAATAAATTATCTATACAAAATAAACTTAAATGTCCATATCGTCCTCTAGGTAAATGTTTTTTTTTTGTATTAAAAATTCTTTATGTATATATTATATTTTAATTGTTTCTTTTCTAAAGCAAAGTCCATTGGATGCTCGACAGCTATTTTTTTGAAGAAAAAATAAACCGGTTTTTTTCTTGTTTTTTCTCTTTTGTATCAATAACGATGATCAGTTGTTTATTGTTTTCTTTTTAAAAATATGTATAATTTTAATGATATTTTAGATAAAAGTTATGTATAGAAAATATTTTGATCCATTGGATTATAATTTATCGGCTGATTTTCGTTTAACGAAATTATCCGATCTTAAAGGTTGAGGGTGTAAAGTTCCTCGAGATGTGCTCCACCGGCTGCTCGAGGGACTTCAAACAGCCGATAAAAACGGCTATGGTGATGGACAACATCACCAAGGACTCTTACCTGAGTCCAAACCAACACCGGTGGTCGGTATGTAAATAAAATCTTTAATACAAAAAAAAAAACAAAGATATTTCTCCGAGAAAATATTCATAGGAATTGGCCTTGATTCATGTGTTATACCAATACGTCATGGAGGGCTTTTTCTGGTACAATCAACTGCTTTTTTCTATCCACTAGTCGATGATCCATATGTTATGGTAAGAAATTGAATAAAAGAAAAAACAAACAAAGATTACAAATTAAAAAAAACTATTTCAGGGAAAAATAGCATGTGCAAATGTATTAAGTGATGTTTATGCTATGGGAGCTGTTGAAATTGATAATATGTTAATGTTATTAAGTACAAGTAATAAAATGACTGACAAAGAACGAGATACAATAATGCCATTGATTCTTCAAGGATTTAAAGTAAAAATACTTTCTATTTGAAAAATAAAATATTTTTTTTTATTTGTAATATTTTATTTAATAGGAATGTGCTGAAGAAGCAGGTACAAGTGTACAAGGTGGTCAAACTGTAATTAATCCATGGTTAATTGTTGGTGGTGTAGCAACTGCTGTATGTACACAAAATGAAATTATCATTCCGGAGAATGCTATTGTTGGTGATGTTTTAGTATTAACTAAACCATTAGGGACACAGGTTTGTTTTATATTAGATTTGTATTCAAATAAAGAAAAACATTATTAATTATAGGTTGCAGTAAATGCTCATCAATGGCTTGAAAATCCTGATCGATGGAATCGTATTAAATCTGTTATAAGTGAAGATGATGTTCGTAAAGCATATCAACGTGCAATGAATTCAATGGCAAGATTAAATAAAATTGGTATGTTTATTAAATGATATATTCATAAATATTTTGATATATGTCAGACAGTAATATAGAGACATAGTTTATACAGTAAAACTAAAAGAATAAACGTGTCTTTTTTCTAAATCATTATACAATTAGACTTTAGTCATAGTAATGTGAGCATGCATGTTTAGAACACATTGGAAAATAAATCGAAAAATATTGTTTTTCCATTTCCTTACAAGAAGCTTTACTATTGTGCCATGATTTTTCCATAATTTGAAGATATATTTTAGTTCATGCATGAGACATAAAAAAACAGTCGACAGTCTGAAACATTATTGTAAAAGTCATTAGAACTCTAAACATGTTTCTTAGAGAAAACTAATCTTCTATATATATATATATGACAAGTCAAATAATGAAAGATCCTTCCTATACATTCATCTTAACTTTGATTAATTTAACGAAAAATAAACTTTTTGTGTTTGAGAAATGGAAAGACTTTAAATGAATATTTAAACATAATAAAAATATGTTTGTTTTGTTGTTTTTTTCTTTTAAGGTGCATCTCTTATGCATAAATATAATGCTCATGCATGTACAGATGTAACTGGTTTTGGTCTATTAGGTCATGCTCAAAATTTAGCTAAACATCAAAAACATGACGTTTCATTTGTTATACATAATTTACCAATTATTGCTAAAATGGCAACAATAAGTAAAGCTTGTGGTAATGCATTTGGTTTATTACAAGGTACAAGTGCTGAAACATCAGGTGGTTTACTTGTAGTTTTACCACGTGAACAAGCAGCTGCTTATTGTAAAGATATTCAAGCACAAGAAGGTTATCAAGCATGGATTATTGGTGTTGTAGAAAAAGGTGGTCGAACAGCAAAAATTATTGATAAACCAAGAATTATTGAAGTACCAGCAAAAGATACCGAAGGTGAATTATGGTAAATTCAAATCAAAGAAAATGTTTTGTATTTTCGTTTGTTGTTCAATTTATTGTTTTTCTTTATAAAAAATAACAAAAAAAAGGATTTTTTATGAAGTATTAATAATGAAAACATCAGAATATATTCTGTTGTAATTATTAATCTGATTGTTCCTAGTATATTTGTAAAGACTAACATAAATTGATACATTTTCTTTATTTGTGTATTGTGTAATATTGTGAAAAAAATAAAATAAAATCTTTAAAAAAAGATTCAAATTGATAAATACTCTACAAAGATGCTTAATAGTATGCATGATTTATCCATTAAAAAAAAGTCTATCAGATATTGAATTACTTTGCCGACATAGGAAAAGTAATGACAAAGATATTTTAATTCTTTATAAAAAAAAAAAGAAAAAGCTTAAAGAAACTTTCTTTCGATATGATTTGATAATAAAAGCTTCAAGACAACTTGATTTTTTTCATTATATATGTTAGCGTCCAATATCAGATTCAATCGAATAACTGTTGTTGAAACAATACCATTTCACGTATTGCAATTATTGCTGGAGAAATTAAAATAAGAGTCGTAAAGTTATGATTAAGTTTTTACAGAAGAATAGCTTTTATGGAGAAGTATCCACAAATATTTCAGTTCGAACTTAGATTGTTTATTGATAAATGCAATTGTTTCAACAAATTTATCAATACGAGTTTGAATCCAACATCTATCTAGAGATGAACAGAGTTCATAACGAAAACTTCTTCTACGATCCAACGTTGGACGTTAACACATATATAACATGCTTGTGCGTTATAAACGTTGATAATTTTAAAATTTTTCTTGTCATTTTGAATTATATAAGTTATTCTCTATTATAGGTAATTGATAATATTAGGACTGAATCAGATGTAAACCCTCTCATTGCTAGCCATCTATATATATATTGAGTATGGAAAAAATGGTATCATTGAACAAATATCAAATACAGAAACAAGTTTTTATTTAAGTAATCTTCTGTATCTGGTACCATGTAATTTTTCGTTATTTAACTTATATTGAACAAAATCTAAGCGATCGTAACAATTTCAAATTGTTGTATCATGCTGTAAACAAATTCGTGAGTTCTTTGTATAAAGAACTAAATAAATGAATTTAACGAATGCAATTGAATATGAATAACTAGAGTAGGTTGAATATTTATTGTTTGTTCTACCGCCATTACTTTTCTGTACGCTAATATATATATAGATGATTAGGCAAAATGCAATCTAATATTAACGAAGTTCTCATCGAGATTTTATTATTATGATATTAACTGAAGAATAATTACACAAATGTTATTACTTTCGTATGCTCTGCCGATAAAATCATCCGAGGTGATATCTTGCGTTTAAAGATGAGACTTCAGTCATTTCGTATGACTTGTTGAAACTATAGGAAGCCTGAAGAAATCCTTTCCCATGCTCAGCCTCTTTTACAGTTATGGTCATTACACTGAGCTTTTTATCTTTGGCATGATATTTATAAAAGAAAACTCAAAAAACGAATTTCAGCCTAAAACTTGTTTCTTCAGTTTTTTTTTATAAATATCGTGTCAAAGGTAAAATGTCTAGTTTAACAGTTATAGCTCGGAGTTTTATTTCAAACGCCAAATATTTTTTTTTTAAATTAATCTCTTTAATTAAAGTTATATTTTCTTTATTTGAGAATAAAATCTCACATGAAAATGATCAGAAAAAAAAAACGCAAAACAGTTTTTTTTTTTCTAAGTAAAATTTCGATCTAATACAACAATATGTTCTGGTATATAACCTTGTTGTCCATCACCACGTTTGATTAATCGCCAATCACCAATATTTTCATTTGAATTAACAAGTGTAACAACTTCAGATTCAAGTACACTTATATCACCAACAAATTGTCTTTGATAATTTTCAATAACACGTAAACGATTATTTGGACGAAAAATCACTGATTCATTATCTAAAACACTAATTGATAAATTTTTACGTGGAGTTAAATTTAATGTTTCATAAGCATCTTTATCCGATGTATGAAGAGACATATTTGAAATTTGTTGAGATAAAACTGATTCATCTTTTATTTGTGAACGTGTAAATGTTGCTCTTTTAGTTAAACGTGAATTCTTTGAAATTTGTGTTTCATTATTTAAATAACATGGTCCAATTGATGAAATAAAAAGACCAGGTCTTGGTGTTGACATATTATATGATCGATTATTGACAATTGATAAACGTGAATAACGTGGTTTATCATAAATGCTTACATTAAATAAACTAATATTATTTTGAGAAGGTGATTCAAATGATGGCTTAGTAGGTTCATCATGTAAACGAATACAATAAATTGGTATAAAACCAGTTGCACCAGTTTCAGGTATTTCAATAAATACCCAATTCGACATTTTATAAAGTCCTTTTACATGCGTACCTAAAAAGAAAAAATTAATTTTTCACATTTTTTATACAAATGAGAGATTGTTTTCTTGTGATTTTTGATAATAGAACTGAACTTTTATACTATTAAAAGAAATAAATAGGTTGAGCATTCTATCCAGATTTTCTCTTTCAGGAAGGCGAACACCTATTTTAAAGATCACACATACATAGTAACAATAATCACAAAGTTTAGCAGAGCTAGTTCGATCAGAGAAAGTGTGCCGCCCTCACACTTAATTAAACACTGAGTAGGATGACGTTGAGATCAGTCGGTGCTTTAAAGGATGATTTTTAGAAAAAAAAAAAAAAGATTTCCTATTGGTACAATTCACCGAGTGCAAATTTTTTTTTTATCCGAACTATATTCTTAAAATTCAACGTTGTTAGAGACTAAAATAAACCTACAAGAATTCGTTTCTATGTATTGTCCTTTCCAAGTTTCATATATCACATGTTTCTTTTTATTTTTCTGTTTTTTACAATCAATGAATCTATATATCAATATCTATATAAGTTACACCCAACTTCCTATTTGTTTTCAATTAGAGATTGTATAGTAGACATTGAACGAATAAAATCAACAAAATCACATCTTATGTCTATCTATCTATGTCTTTCATTATCAGCTTGTGTTAGTTGTCTACCTGTACATGTCAAGATTAACAACATATATATGGACTTAAAATAAATGTCCAAAAAAAAAACTCTGTTAAATGAAATGAAACAAAATGTTAGAAAAGGAAAAGCAATTAAATGGTAGTTCAATTCAATCGAATCGATCACATCGTTTTCTTCTCGTTTTTTTAAATCGAAAGAATTGTTCAAGCAGAACAAAGTGGATATATATAATACCTTTCGTAACGGCAATTGTATTCTTATTAAATTGTGTCGATTTAGCATATAACGGTTTATATGATTGCGAAATAATCATAGACAGATTGGCTGGTGATGTAGGTGTAGCATTAGACAGATGTTCATAACTATTCATATTTTTTAACGGTTGTTCATGATTATCAACCGTTATACATTCCATATTTGTTTGTATTTGAGTTGATAAATTATATGAATTTTTATTTCGTCGTTTTTTTGAACGCTAAATCAATTAAAAAAAAAGAAAAAAAAAGTTATCATTTTTATATAAATAATTAGTCATACAAATATATTAAATTTAGTTGATTTTTTTTCTGTTGCTAATGGTTCAGTTTTAGCTGTTACAAATTCATAACATCCATCTTTATTAATCCGTTTACATGCATTTGTAAGTTCTAAAAAGTAGAAAAAAAAAAAAAAGAAGAAGATCAAATAAACTTTTCTTTTTAAGATGTCAAGCATATCCTCTTGTCGTCGATAACATAATGTTTACAAAATAGATTAACTATATGTCATTTCAAGGATTTTTATTTTTGTCTTCATTTTAAAAAGAAGGATTATAGATTATCAAAACATTAGTTTTTTTTTTCTTTTTACTCACTTAAAATATTACATGAATCCCACATAGCAATAAATGAATAAGAAGTGGATAAAAGTTTTTCTCTTTTTTTATTCTAATACTCAATAGGGAATATATAATTATACCTTTAGGTATATGAAAGAAGACTGATTTTCTTTTTTTGCTATTGAAAAATTGTACCTTTAATATGCTTACGAAATTGAAGGACTCGTAGAAGTTTTGTAAATGTTCTTGATTGATCCATAATATTCAAGCAATAATATCGGTGTCAAAAATAATCATTCTAATAAGTACAATGTCTGTAAATGAAAAGAAAAAGGAAAGCAACAAATAATCATAGATCTACTTTCTTCTTTCTCTTTCAAACCAATGAATGAAAACGAAAAAGAGAAAGAGAAAAACAAAATGACCTTCAATAAAGTTCACTATATGAAATAATCGAAGAAGGAAATTTGTCTTATCAAGTTACTCAAAAGTGATAATGAGATATAGGTTTTTCTTTTTCTCTTATGATCAATATCTCTCATTGTCATCATCAATACACATATATATATATAACGGTCAAGCATAACTTTTGTTTTTGTTATTGATTGATTAATCCTATGGGAATATATGATGGTTATCAAAAAAAGTGACTGTTTTTTTTTTCCTTTCACAAGATTTATTAGATTTAATTTTTTTTTTTTTTTTTATACAGTAACATCAATAATTTCTGTCAAATTAGGTATTTTTTCTCGATTTAATAATTGTTCATTTGTACTATGAGATCGATGATTTTTTATCCATATATGTTCTTGTTTTTGATTATTATCTGTTAATGAACGATGTGAAGAAGATTTTGAATATGGTATCGATTTTAAAATTGATCGATTCGTTTCATTTAAATGTGATGATTGATATTTTGACGAAATTAAAGATAATTTTTCAGCTTTAGATATATGTTTTGATGTTGGTTCATCAATAGATAATCTTAACGTTCGATCACCACCTGTTGATATATTTGATGGACGCTTTTGTTGAGTAAACATTAATGAACTTTTTCTTATACTAATTGTTGGTGAACTTGGACACTAAGAAAATAAATCATTTATTTTAATTATTACAAAA